ACTGCTGAAGGATTTTAAAAAAATTTCACTGGAGTTTGCACTTTCTAGGAYGTCTCATCAGGGTTTGTCTTTTTGTTTCTTTGTTTTTTTTATCTGTCTTTTTTCCCTTGCATTGTGAGGACAAGACAGCCTCAGAGTAAAGCTAATGTGGAATTATCTCAGCCCTTAGAATCGTTTTTTGTAGATGACTGCTAGAATAAATTGAAAGATCAGCTGAAAAACACTCAGTTATCTTTAAGGCCAGAAGAACCTTGATCTCGATAGGACTCATTACCACATGAATAAGGAATGCCAGTGAGGTATCAATGACGTATCTTGATACACTGTAAAACTGATAACAGGTATTGAGAATCCCCCTTGTGGATAGCTCGCCCTCTTCCCTCCACTGCCAGCCCATACCTCCATAAGAAAAAGAGTTCAAAGGAATCAGTCATTAAGAAAAATAGTAAGCCACAAGATTATTCTTTCATCCTTTCGTTTCTGGCTCAAGAAGAATTTCTTAATCTCTAGTTCAAAAGACTCAGAATATAGAGTGGCCAAAAGTAACAACTTTCCAGAGGGAGACAGAAAGAAAGGCTGTGAAGATCAGAAATGACCGGGTGTCTTCATCAAATAACAAAAAGTGTAGTATATAAATGTCTTCACAGCCTTCTGTGGCTGTAAACTCTTCTTGTTAATTATGTCAAAAAGATAAAATATTAGGCTGAGACAATTTTTTTCTTGCATTCAGCAGCAAATGCTTCACATGAAGCAAAAGCACTGGAGCTCATTTATGTTACACAAAACCAGATTAGACTCTGCATTTCTCTTGTAATAGTACCTTTGCTTTCAATGTTTTATCTTCTTTCAGTATATAATAGTCATTTACAGGAGTTTAAATTGTTTGCTCCAGAGGTTTTACTTCATTATTCCTCTGACTGTACAAACTCAGCTGAATACATCAGAGAGTAAGTATAAATATGAAATCTGTAGGTGTCATCATGCTGGGGTCAGGGGAGGTCAGCTACTCTGGAGGACAGAGATGAATTTCAGTCTCCGCAGGCTGGAAAGAAATTCTTCAAAGAATGTAACTAAATTCAGTAATTATAACTGAAAAAAAAAAAAAAAAAAAAAAAAAAAAAAAAAAAAAAAAAAAAAAAAAAAAAAAAAAAAAAAAAAAAAAAAAGAAAAAGGAAAAAAGAAAAAAATAAGCTATGTTTGACGGAAGAAACACCAAAACCAGCAGCTGACAGAAGGCAAGAACTCATTGGGACATCCTAGAGGAGTAACCATCATAATTGCTATGTACAGTTTTTTCTGATCATGTGCTGGAGAAATTGTTGATAAATACATRTGTGATGCTTTTTAAGCTGCATGTGCTGAGGAGCTGGGTTCTATAAGGTACCACAACTGGCCTTCATTAAGTGACATGATTTGCTGGCATTTATGGGAAAAGGCAAAGAAAAAAAGACCGTTCTTTTCAACAATCCCAAAGAAAGATCTTGTCTTGGAACTATTTCTGCTCTCTGGGGTGTATTACTGGCTTGAAGGGACTGTTTCCTTAAGTATAATTTGAAAGATTGTCTCAAACATGAACTCAAGCTTGTTAAGCAGGTGATTTGCAAACAGTGCTTTTCTCAAAGATGAAAATTAACTCCTCTTCAGTATAAGTATTTTAAGGGTGTGCATAACCACTAAGAATTCAATCCAATTTGAAATCAGCAAGTTTAGAAGAATCCATGCTGAAAGAATGGCTWAATTAAAGCAAGTTTGTAAATTAACTTTGTTTGTTCAATTAATGAAGCAGGTGCAGACTAAGTGAATTGACTTATACGCAAAAAAAAAGGAAAAACTAAGAGAGGGTGAAATAATTTATGTAAGGGAGAGGTGATTTAATAAAGGCCTAAGTGAAGCAGGCCATCTCGATGAAGTTGCAGAAATTGTCTCAGATCAAGGCAATTAAGAACTGCAGAACAGAAAAAAGACCCTTACTGACATGTGACTGACAGACAAAAAAGCACAATCCAGGAAAGCTGCAAGGAAAAAAACAGAAGCTACAGAAAAAAACATTGAGTTCTAAAGGGAAACACATACATGGGCAGCTGCTCAGGGAATGATAACAAACATTACAAACACCCTTTGCTTTTTCTGTATTTGTATTTAGCATTAGGAATAATTAAAAATACTTTAAAACTTGCTCTTCATTATTTAACTGAAACAGAGTAAGATGTTAATGTAGTCCTCTGATTTTACCTGACTGCAGTTCTTAACTTCTTCTCTCTCAAGCTGATCACTGAGACTTGCACTTCAGGAAGAACAAGTGCAAAGTGTCCAGCCTGGGAATGAAAACTCCTTTGCAGTGATGCAGGTTGGGAATGCCTTGCTGGGAAGCAATTCTGCAGACAAAGCCCCTAGGGACTCTGGTGGGAAATGAGCTGACTGTGAGCCTGCAGAGGCTGTGGCAATGATGAGGGCCAAGGGCATCCCGGGCTGTGTCAGCAGGAGCACAGTGAAGGGAAGGGATTAGCTCCCTCTAATCAGCACTCATCAATCTGCATCTAGACTACTGCTGCCCCTTTTGGGCCCCTAAAAATGCTGATAAAGATGAAAAGATGCTGGAGTGCATTCAGCACAGGGCAATTGAAAGGCCTGGATCTTGAGWATCCGTGTCAGGAGGGGATTGAGGGAGCTGGGTCTTACCAGACTGGGGGAGAGATGGGACCCAGCAGCAGCCTCCAGTGTCTATGGGSAAGGTATCAAGGGGACAGATCCACGCTATGGGTGGCAAAAAGCCTAAAGACACTGATCATAAATGAAGTAACTGTATACAAGTTCAGACTGTATGCAAGCAAACATTTTTTCACCATGAAGACCGTCAAGCAAAAGAGCAGGTTATCCAGATTCTGTCCTAAAGAGTTTTCAATACCTGACTGAATACTGAAATAGCAACAGACAATGTTGATTAGACCAACATTGATTTGACCACACAGGTAATGCTGACTGAAGCAGAAGGTTGGACTAGAGACATTGAGGCTCCCTCTAACCCAAATTTTACCAAATTTCCCAAATCAGCTAAATGCTGCTCCACAGTACAGTAGAAACTGTATCAGATAGTAATGCATAGATAACTGAATGAAAAAATCTTATCAAAATAAGATACAACTTAATTTTCACTGTTACCAACATATATAAACAATAAATTGTAAAATCAGTAAATTACAAACAGATTATGAAAAGATTCCAAACTAAGTTTACAAAAACATTCTGAGATAATTAAATTCAAAATCATACCCACTGCTGTCGTTAGTAGGCATGCAAAACTTGTCAGGAAATAGAAAAGTCAATGGAGCAGCACTAGAATAAAAATTTATTTTCTTGGTCTCATAATTTTCCTATTTTCACAGAAAGATATACTCTACCATAAAATTCTTTTAAAAACATACAGAGAGAGGTATAAAAGACAGACATCCAGAAAGCTAAGAATGTGGCAGAACAATGTATTATAAAATCATGAACTGCTATTAGGCTACTAATAAATTAGCACTGCTAATTCAACCACATAAATATATAATTTAACTCTTTTTGTGTGCTTATATATACATTGGTATTTATAAGGCTCAACAATCTGCATYTGCACAACATTAGCATTTTGCCAAATTCTAAAGTACATGTATTGACAAAAAAAGAGATGTGCAAGACCAAAGAAATATGCTTCAACTGGTAATTTTAGAACTGTTATGGTAACTCAGGTGAAACACTCCAGAGAGCAATGACAGGTCAGACCAAATTATYTTCACTGTTTCCTATTTAGGTCTACGAGATGTTCTGCTCAGCATATCAGACCTTGAGACTGTTCTTTTGAGACATCCAACAATCTATCCTCAGCAAAGAGCACAGGTACTTTCTCTGGATTTGGTATTCCTCTCTGGAGACCAGATAGGTAAAATTTGGATGTAGTCATACCTACTTGGTAAGTACTTCAAGACTTAAACTAAGTCCAGGATGCAGGAAGGTTTCTTGTAACCTGGTTTTAAATCCTCCAGGGACTSTCTCAGTCATCCTCTTAATTTCAAAACTAAAGACAGTGGTGTTTGCTCAAGTTACACCTAACAGTCACTGGATAAGAGAAGAAATTGTCTGAAGATCAGGGATTCAAAGCTAGGATTTCCCAGTCTAAAAAACAGGTAAGGTATCACAAATGTGGGGTTTCTTAGATTAGGACACCTAAATGCATGTTCRTGGTGGTGAGTTACAGATCTAAGATCATGCTAGCACCACTGTTCAGTTCAGTTGTCTAAGCAGATACCTTTAACTAATAGTGCTACTAAAGATAATCCAGTGTACCAGACGCATCTACATCAAGAGAGAAAATGTGACACAGGACTTAGAGAAGATCTGAAGTCCTTTGGGGTAGCAGCTAGATACCCAGACCAAAACACTGGGCTGTTTTGCAAGTRTTTAATACATTAGGTATCCCAGCTACAAGGAGACATCTAAATGGACATGCATACCTTTGTGCATTTTCATCTTGAGGCAAGTTCCTTCTTGGTGTAAAATCTCCAAAACACAGGAGACAATAATCTATTAAGTATTCTGATTGCAGGGGTTTTTGCCCCCACCAAAGCTGAGGTGTTCATTAATGTGCTTCACTGCACTATTTAATTTTGCACTAAACAAATAAGGAGAGCCCAGATCACCATTACAGCACTTTCGCAGAGAGGAAAGTGTGTGTATAGACTGCTGCAATGGCATTGGAAGGGAAACTCTCACTGTACCTCAATGCTTCCAGAGCTGTGCTACTGTTCCAAATTCCTGTATGTAAGTGCCATTTGGTTATGCCATCTCTGGATACAAAGTACTGTCTTTTTGTATGCTGTGAAAAAAAAAGATTTCAAACTTTATGTGTTTATTTTAAACAGCACCTGAAACAACTTCCTTTGTTCCATTTTCACTATGTGCGCAAACACCAACACGTTGTTTTCTGTTATAAGAAACAGCATTTATTCAAAATGGCATGTGGATTATTACATTTTTTCTGTATTCAAAATTGGGAATAAATTGCATTATCTCTGAAACTGCTGTATAGAATAGTAGTTTCAAGTAAATGTTTTCCAATAACCACAATTTCCCTGTCTGGCTCCAATGAAATCCCACAACAAATGCACTGTTAAAGAGTAGGCTGCTTGTTTTAATCAATTTGCATTTGACCTGAGTTCAAAAGAACACTCACTCTCCATAAATATAAAGAAAACAAAGGGAATTCATCTGAGAGATGAAGAATAATTTGATCAAGGTTCTCCAGAAATTTGATTTTTTCTTCTCCTTCATAGTCTGAGCTTGAAATGTTACTTTCTTGTGTCTCATTTTGAAGAAGTTGTTCCAGAATCATGCACAGAGGAAAAATATTCTCATACTGAGTAAYGTCATACCCAGACTGGACCTGGAAATAAAGAAAAATCAATATGTAAGTAGAGTGTGAAAACATTTCTGCAGCCCAACAACTCAGCRGACATTTTAAGGAATACTGTTAAAATTTGCAGCAATATTTATAAAATCAGAACAGTAAATATATATATATACTGTGTACAATAATCACACATTCAGTGTGGTTACTTCTAAAAAATGTTTTCCTTTTTGTGATATGAGCCAAACAACTAACATTCCATCATATACCAAACAAAAAAGTCAACATAACCTCCTCTTCATGAGAGGGTTTGCTTTACCTAATTAACCCCAGGCTGTGACATACCACAGTGATGGACAGAAAAACACCTACAATAACAGCATGGTTTGTTCTGGACATATAATTASAATTGGAGGATTCCTGTTTTCTGTGAAATAAAATAGCAAGCAAAAAAGAATTTTTTACTCCTAAATATAGACACTCATCTACTCAAGTGACACCTCCAGAAAGTACATAAAAAGCCCAAATTCTCAAYCTCAATAGAAAATGTACAAGAGAGTCCAGAGCCAGTTAAAGTGGAAGAGTCAGTTTATCAAATAAGCTGGAATGAGGACACTGACCAAACTAAAAACTTTTTAGAAGTCTTGCAGCTTTATCCAATATAAATTTACCTGTCCTGTATTTGGCAATTGAAATTTTACACAGAAGTTTTCACAATCTCTTCTTCTGTACATAGGAAATAACTGGTAAGATAAAAACTTATGCCATGGAGAGCTGTCTCTCTGGAATGAAATTAACAGCWAAATCTACCAATAATATGAGATGATCTTGTTCTGAAGAAGGCTGYAATTACAGTAGGTAGATGATCAGAACTGAAAGGTAAAATCATAGCTGATAGAAAATGCATTATATATTTTAGAAAATGGACCAATAGCTCTAGCAAATATAAAAAAAAAAACATTTGGACCTGTGGTACAAAGCCAGGTGGGTCCAGGCTTCAACATTGGTCTATGAAAAAGCATCAAATCATGTTACTCAGCCTAAATTACGTACTGTCAGACTTTCCAAAGTGTGAAATTTATAATCTGCTTTTACAAAAAATGTAAGTTATTTTTTAGATTCTTTTTCCACAAGAATCTAAAAAAGACAGCACTTTACCTTCTCCAGTTAAAAATGTTGAAGATGGTGGCTCAGAGATTGCTCCCTTTGACTTTCTGAGATAGTTCTTAAAACCTAAAATCTGCGTTGAAGCCCACCAGGGTAATCGTTTTCAGGTAGCCTCCCACCTCAGAGACAAAATCAAGACACCACAGCCATCCTATTGCAAAGGGTCAGTGTCACAAATGAGTTTTACTAAGTTTTCTAGAAATCTTGAAAATTAAGTTTGTTACCAAAACATATTATCCTAGCCCTGCATACTCCTGTTGTGTCTCTCTGGAACCTTGTAAGAAAAATGTAAAGTTCAAAAGCTGCTGCCAAGAATTCAGTATTGGCCATTCTTATCAGAACAGACAGCAAAATATGTAAAAAAAMCAATATTAACTATTTGTATACTTCTGAAGTCCAGTTAAATCAAACTGTCTAATTTGGGAGAACCTCCTTTCAAAGCAGAGGTTAGCAAGACAATCTGTTTTTTCAAATATCAAACATACAACTCTTGGACAATTATGCCTATGCACTAGTTGTTTTGATTATTAACTGATAGTGGTGAAATAAATGTATTTACTTTGCTTATTAGACTAAATGAARGCTTTCTAAGTTGAGAAAGAAATTCTTATTAATTGTTTACTGAATTTCTAGGAAATAGAATATTCTGAAGCCCTACAAAGTCTGTTCCTRAGACTTTCAGTGTAGGGGTCATGTGCCCAAACACAGGCACAAGCTGAGATAGTTTTCCGTGGTTCCTGTTTCAGCCAACAGAGGGAATCAGGGGCGGGACAGAGTTGCCTGAATGTAGATTCTATTTCCATTTCACATGCCCAAGGGTARCAGCTGTAAGCAGGAGTACCTCAGGTTATACAGTGTGGTATTAGAGGCCTGAGTTCCTGCAACTGAGTAGTTCCTGGAGTCTCTCAACATGTAATTCATTCCACTCTAAACTAGAATTTCATAYATGCCATGTCCTGGAACTCTTTACAGTGATAAAGTGTGACTGTGCCCAGAAAAAAAATGACTATGTGGAAACATAAATGGAAGTTCTGCACATTTAGAAATTAGATTTGTAATTTAGAAATTAGATTTACAACTACAAACACAAATATTTGTTTGAATCTCAAGTGTTGGCTTTGAAAATTCACTCCTTTCAAACRAGGAATCAATATAAAATGTTTTAGAAAGGAAAATTATGTCACTTCACTTACTCCTGYAACCTCAGGCTCTTCCAAGCAGTTAAGCAATTGTGTTCCTTTCACTGGGTCGTGAATGGTGCAACTAATTGCAACTTAGTAAACTATCTGATTATGTACAATAGAAACCACAAGTTAACTAATTAGCTTCCTCTACAAATACTATTGCATTAAAGGAAAATTACTTTAGTTACACAGAACTGACTTTGAAGAAAAAGAGTAAGTATGATGGCAAGGAAGAAGTATGTTTTGAGATAATTGCTTTTCTGGAGACAAATGCATTTTGAAATACTGTACTATAAAACCAGGAGGGGGGAAATCAGTCTAGAACATTTTCTGGCTCAAGGCTTATTATTAACCTTTCCAATCCATTTAATAATCTGAACAAAATGTGTCTCTGTTTCGTTAAATGTCTTCTGTAGCGCTAATTGATGCAATTACTACCAATGCAAATTTATGCCACACAATTTGTAAAGGAATACCTTTATTGTTCCCTAACGGTGCACAGTCAGATAAAAGACCWATTAATCTTGACCAGCAATATGTCTGAGTGGGCAGCTGTGCATGTCTGTGTGCACACAGAGGTATCCAGAAAGTTCAGTGTGTTATAAAGCAAGCCTCATACATATGGTGCTATTCCAGAATATATTAATACCAACTTTAAGTAACTTGAACATTAACTTTGTTCTTCAGAATGAATTTTAAGATAATCACTTTTCTTACAGATCAGACAGGTAWCCAATATGGATCAGTCCTCATCAATTTTGCCTCACCAAGTACATGAGAAAGTGTTTCCTAGCAGTAATATGCATTTTTTTAATGTACCTCAGTTTTTAATTTAAGCCCTAAAGTGATTTTCTTATTATGATTTCTCCATACAAATAAACTTTTTAGAGTTAAATAATTTAAAGAAAATATATAAAATYGAGCTTTATGTAAGATGGAAACACACGCTACAAGGATCTCCTGGCTGGATCTGATCACGTGCTATTCAGATTTAATTGTATTTATATTATCACATTCAGAATGCAAGAAGTGACAAAACTTTTGGTTTAAATTAATTATCCAAACTTATCCTACACTATATGGTGACTGCATGGAATAGGATGCATATTTACAATATAATTTGGAAGCAGGAAAGAAGTTCTGTGACCTGTCTTCTTTAGAATGCTACCACAATCAGTCCTAATATGCCAAAAGAAACTGCTCTCTTCCAGGTCCCTGGCCCTTTATTGTACATCCTCTTTGCAAAACAACAGATCAGATGGCCCCAGATCAAATTCCAAGCTGCTGCTATCTTACTGGACAGATTTTGAATCTTGGTGAATAGAATAGGAAACAGATTCCAAATTGCATGTAGAATATTTTTGTTTTCTTGTCTCAGTGGTTCATGGACATTTATATAATATACTCAAATGCCTATAATAACAGCAATACAAAACAAGAAAATAAATTGAAGAAATTCTCTACAATTCTTAAGTCATGAAACCAGCCACAAGTCATATTTCTAGTGATGCCATCGGTTGGGCCTGGAATTTTCACATGCAGAAGGCTGATTACACTTTCTGTGTAGAGGCAAGTAATTTTTATTCCTTTTACATCTCAAAGGACCTATAGAACAGTGACAATACTTTACCAGTGAAAATAAAAATTAGATGAAGAGAAAGAAAGTATGTTCATGGCAACTGCTTCCATGCAGCTCAGATGCTTACACAGATGATGGACAAAATGTCAGCAACACTTGTATGCTCCCTGGAATACAGCAGAACAGCTCTATCATGGGAACTAAACAACAAGGAATGACATACTAAATGCAGTCAGTGATGGTCACATAAATGAAAAAAATATTTCTGTGCTCACTATGCCTGAATATAAGAGGGAAGCTATCCTGAAATGGTTTTCTTCATTTTAACACAACAGTTCTAACAAGTATATAATAATAAATACAAGTTCCTAAATGGAGAGATATTTGACAGCAACACCTTTTAAGAAAAATGTTTCTAAGTTAGCATAATGAAAAAAAAGTGACTGAATGGAAATTCTATCAACAAATGGTCACTGTTTGGTAAATTTTGTATTTACTAAGAGAATGYTGAAAACCAAAGTTTTCAGTAAAATCAACATTGTTTCACTCTACTCATCCAGTCTAGGTCAGAGGTTAATGGAAACATATTTCAAGAATCACTGAATTGTTTCCTCATGTGTCAATACATTTTCATTTAATGAATAAAGAAGATTAATTCTCACAGGGAATTCTGTTCTTGACCCTTGGGTTTTCCTCTGAGAAATCCCTATCCAGGTTACTTCTTGTTGCGCTCAACTGCTAAATATGAGACAAATATTTTCCAGAGTGCAATTAAGAATACTTGTAGGRCAGGCATTTTATTTCAAAACAACACAGAAATCTTCTTAGCTGGAAGCTCCGCAAACATGTAAATAACATCTATGTGATCATTAAAATTTACAAACCCAACAATATCCACAGTGTAATAAATCACAGTAGGACAAAAGAGATTATCTATAATTGTTGTTTTGTTTTCAAATATCMTGAAGATATGCATCTCTGAAATATTTAAGGCAGGCATGCATRGAAGTCTTTACTAGAAATATTTTTGTTTGCTTTTTAATACTGCTGTGTTAAGGTAAAGAGCAATTACAAATTGTCACAATGAAGGAATTCTGGTTTTAGCT